ATAATCTGTAATTGATATGCAGTACAGTTGACATTTCATCTGGACGACCTTTTCCTTAGTTGACACTTAATGACGTCAAGGCAAATGTCTCTTTGGCAGCTCCATAACAGTAACGTCTGTCCCTAAACAACCAGTACCGTCACAGCATACACATCTGTCTTTAATATAATGTTCAACAAGCGACCGGCAGTGTGCCTCAGAGGTGGCTCGCAACCCTACCCCAACCTGTCGGAGTGCTTTACAATCGCCACTCACACACTGGTCATCCCGTTGTTCCAGGCATTACCTGGAACCAATACTCTCCGATGCAAGCTCTTTCATTCGCTTCTGCACCTTACACTGGGACTGCTGTGCTACTGCATGACTCAGAGTGGTGTGAGTGGACAGACTAACGTCAGACAAACGTCACTTAACGGGAAAAACCCTCTTTGTGAATCACCTTGCTAACACACACACAGAATACCAATATAACTAAACACAACAAATCTCTCTCTCTCTCTCTCTCTCTCTCTCTCTCTCTCTCTCTCTCTCTCTCTCTCTCTCTCTCTCTCTCTCTCTGGCATAGACTAACACTTAAATTATACTACCATCAAACTAACACGTTGTCACAATGTACCCACCGCTAACGTAAGTCAAATGTGGAAACAGCTAACAGTCAAAACACAACACGTCTCCGTTCAAGTCTCACTGATAAACTCACCAAAAACCCGTTTCCAAATCGCTTTTGTCAAGTTTTTAACTCACTGCCCAGTGCGTGAGATTAGTTCATCCGTCATTCAAGTCAGTCGATTTCTTTGTGGGCTGTTGAACACGCGGTCGCTAAACGGTCAACTACGTTCTAGTCCATTATTCACCATCACCATAAACCGCCATCACATGGCCACACAGACCTTGATACCATGCCGTGTGGTTTTATTAGTCATGTTTTCTCCACAACCGTCTGTTTCGTGTACTTTCAATCAGTTCTGACACAGATGTTTTTCCAAAGTCCGTGCCGTGTGGCGTTGGTAGTAACGTCTGTCCACAACCTCCTGTCTCGTATACTTTCATTCAGTTCTGACACAGATGATCTTCCATTGTTCATGCCGTGTGGCATTGGTAGTCATGTCTGTCTACAACCTCCTGTCTTGTATACTTTCAGTGAGTTCTGACACAGATGATTCTCCATAGTCCATTCTGTGTGGCGTTGGTAGACATGTCTATCCGCAGTCGTCTGTCTCGTGTATTTTCAGTCACTTGTGAGACAGATAATCTTCTATGTCAAACTATCCAGCATCATTTTTTCCTTTCCCTCTACCTCTTTTCCCCTCTGACGGCCCTACAGTTGCAGTGTACTCTAATTTCCTCTTCCTGCCATGACCAAAGAATGTACATAGTGTGTATCTGACGACGGCAATCAGTTCACTTAGTAAGTCAGTTTCTTTCAAGACATTTTCATTACTTTTTTTTTTTGTTTTTTTTTTTTTTTGGGGAATTCGCCTCATTTGTCTATAAAATCACATCTCCGCCTCTTCTAAATACTGATTTCTGATTTAAGATTCGACATCATAGCACACCGGGCATACCCATAGGTGTTCCGTCTCCTGCAGCAGATGTCTTAAGGTGTAGATGCTAACTGTTCCCGTAGCACACTGATAAGTGTCTCCCTAGCTATCGCTTTTGTAGCCAGAAAATCCGCTTTCATTCCCTCGCACTCCTGCGTGCCCGGACAGTATATCCACGTGATTCCCTGCAATGTTGGCGTATCCACTCATGCCACATTAATCCATTTTGAACCCTCCACGATGGCGACTGAGAATCAGACACAATAATCCCTCTGGTAAAAGTTTTCTGCCATCCAGATCAGAGATACATTCTTCTTCTTCTTCTTCTTCTACTACTTCTTTGTTAACCGGCATGGACACTGCGTGGTCTCGAGGCATGGTGTCTGCCTCGAATGCTAGAGCTTCCGGGTTCGGTCTCATTTAAGGGCTGGGAGTTTTCATATGGGTCTTCTAGTAATTCCCCCTGGTCTCTGGGTAGTCAGATCGGACGCCCGTGTGCACTGTTGCGCACGTAAAAAATCCCTTGGAAATCGAAAAGAGTAGCCTAACAGCGCTGCCCGGGCAAAATTTGGAGTTAAAAATCTACCCAAAGTTTGTTTTTTTATTCAGGATCCTAGTCGGTGCTACAAAACCTGTGCACTGTGCTGAGCTTCTTTTAGGACTCAGACTTGAGTTAAAAGAAGAAAGAGCACTTATGGCTTACACCCGTGTGCCATGATAGTTATCCTTTGTTCAAAATCTCAAATCTAGCATTACATGTTTACTGGCTGTAAACTCCAAAGATAAGTCCTGGTTTTTCGTTCATCTGGACTTCAGCTTTGTGCCAGTGCTTGAGTTTTGCGTGTACATCCGTTTTACACGCTTATTTGTGTTCAATTAGTTGTTCCTTGCCGCTCGGGCAGATGCACTGCGACTTCGAAGGAAGCTCCAAATAAGTCGACTTTTGCGACATGCTTTTTATTTTGATATGCAGTGGGTATATTCTTGTTTTTCCCACAGTTAGTCCCCCGAACCCACAAGGTAGAGCTTTAGTGATTCCACTCTTCTAAATAATTTTTCCCTAATCGTCCAACTCCTCTTGAAACACTTTTTTTTTTTTAATAGAATTGACACACTTCCGTATGTCGGGACAGGATTTATATAGCGCGTATGTCTTACATTTTTATAGTTTGACATCCATGAACTGACATATCACATTTTGTCGTTTCGTGTAGCTAACATTTACATTGACACATCGCGTAACTGATATTTCAGATGATTGAATTACGAAATTCATGAGCTGACATATCACATAATTCATGTTTCACATGTTTGAATTATGACATTCATGAGCTGACATATCACGTAATTTATGATTCACTTGTTTGAATTATGACATTCATGAGCTGACATATCACATAATTTATGTTTCACATGTTTAAATTATGACATTCATGAGCTGACATATCACGTAATTTATGTTTCACTTGTTTGAATTATGACATTCATGAGCTGACATATCACGTAATTTATGTTTCACATGTTTAAATTATGACATTCATGAGCTGACATATCACGTAATTTATGTTTCACTTGTTTGAATTATGACATTCATGAGCTGACATACCCCGTAATTTATGTTTCACATGTTTGAATTATGACATTCATGAGCTGACATATCCCGTAATTTATGTTTCGCTTGTTTGAATTATGACATTCATTAGTTGACATATCACGTAATTTATGTTTCACATGTTTGAATTATGAAACATCCCGTAATTTATGTTTCACATGTTTAAATTATGACATTCATGAGCTGACATATCACGTAATTTATGTTTCACATGTTTGCATTATGACATTCAAGAGCTGACATATCATGTAATTTATGTTTCACATGTTTGAATTATGACAGTCATGAACTGACATATCACGTAGTTGATAATTCATTTGTTTAAATTCTAAAATTCACATACCTGACTGATATTTTATATAACTGATATTTAAAAAGACATTAACGTAGTTACTACTTTATGTCGCTGACAGTTTTAAATTGTGACATTTATGAATTATGAATTGACTAATCACTTGCTGACACCTCATGAAATTGAAGCTTCAAAGATTTGACCTGCGTCCGGAGTTGACACTTTTTATGTAGCCGACATTTCACTTTTTTTTTAAATGACATTTTACATAGTTGACAATTTATAGACTTGATACTTGTTGATACAGTTGACATGTGTGTGTGTGTGTGTGTTCGAGTGTGTGCGTGTGTGACAATGGGTCATATCAAATTTCTGAGACCCCCTTGTGGGTTCCGTGGCCCAATTTTGTGTGTGTTTGTATGTGTTCGTGTGTGTGTGTGTTTGTGTGTGTGTGTTCGTGTATGTTTGTGTGTGACACTGGGTCATATCAAATTACTGAGACCCCTTGTTGATTCCGTGACCAAATTGTGTGTGTGTTTGTGTGTGTTCTCGTGTTTGTGTTTTTGTTTGTGAGATGTGTTTGTGTGTGTATTTGTTTGAGTGTGAGTTTGTGTGTGTGTTTGTGTGTGTGTGTGTGTGAGTGAGTTTGTGTGTGTGTTTTTGCGTGTGTGTGTGTATGTGTTTGTGTGTGTATTTGTTTGAGTGTGAGTTTGTGTGTGTGTGTGTTTGTGTGTGTGTGAATCGACACATTTCTTATGGGTTCCTTGGCTCCATTGTGTATGTGTTTCGGGGGGGGGGGTGTATTTGTCCACCTGTCTCTCCAACCTGCATCTCGTAGAAGTCGACTAACTGTGAACTTTCTTCGAAGTAGTCGGAGTGCATCAGCTTGAGAGGCAAGTCACATAATATGCAAACAATTAAGTCAGATCTGTAGAAGGCATATGCACAGAGCACTCTAGATCTGAAACAAGACTAAAGTCCAGTTTTGAACAAACAACTAGAACTTTCCGCCAGGGAGATTACGAAGAAGAAGAAGAAGAGGAAATTATTGAGTTTTGAAATAGCTGAAACAATTTATATACGTGATATTTACAATACTTCTTTCCATATAGTTATACAGTATAGGGTAACACGTCCCTGCTGGATTTTTTTTGCCAACAAAGCGACCGTCTTAAGCGAGACGTGACTGTATTTTGGATTGTATAAACTGGAGTTTTGTGTAGCTAACATTTGTCAGTTTTGAAATCAGCGTATATAATTCATTATTATCCATCTCTTGTGCCATTTTTTGTCACACAGTGCTGGCACTTTGTTCGTGCTTCCAGAGGGAGGGGTTTTAGAGGAAAGAACAGCGGTAAAGAAAAAGAAAGAAGAGTGGGCGGCAGAGAAAGAAAAGCAGTGGGAGGGGGGGGGGAGCAGTATAGAGTGAGAAGAGTGGTTGAGAGAGGAGAGGCACAGAGAGAGACTAGTTTTAGAGAGTGAAGCGAGAGAGTGGAGTAGCAAAGAGAGACTAGCGGTAGAGAGTGAAGCGAGAGAGTGGAGTAGCAAAGAGAGACTAGCGGTAGAGAGTGAAGCGAGAGAGTGGAGTAGCAAAGAGAGACTAGCGGTAGAGAGTGAAGCGAGAGAGTGGAGTAGCAAAGAGAGACTAGCGGTAGAGAGTGAAGCGAGAGAGTGGAGTAGCAAAGAGAGACTAGCGGTAGAGAGTGAAGCGAGAGAGTGGAGTAGCAAAGAGAGACTAGCGGTAGAGAGTGAAGCGAGAGAGTGGAGTAGCAAAGAGAGACTAGCGGTAGAGAGAGGAGCGAGATAGAAGATGTAGATAGAGACCATCGATAGAGAGAAGAATGAGGGAGAGACGCGGTAGAGAGAGAAGGGGTTCAGAGAAGAGCAAAAGAGAGATGGGGAAGTGGAGGAGTTGTAAAGAGAAAGAAAAAGAACAGAGTAATAGAGAGACATTGCGAGCGAAGCGATGGAGAGATCACGCGTAAGAAAGAGAGCGAGAGTAGGTCTTACATCACTCTAGCTTGTCTTCCCTGCCTGGAAGTACTTCTTCTTCTTCTTCGCGTACACCAGCTGTACACTATGGCGGAAAGTTCTGGTTGCTCGTCCACTACTGAACTGCAGTCCTGCTCCAGAACCTGAGTGTTGCGTGTGCATCAGTTTTACAGATCTCATTCTCTTGAATACAGACTGTTGGTTCCTTGCCTCTCCGGCAGATGCACTCCGACTTCAAAGGAAGCTCCCCAAATTAGTCGACTCTTACGACATGCTTTTGGGGAGGCAGTGGGTCTATTCTTGTTTTCCCCACAATGGGACCCCGGAACCCACACGGGGGCAAGGAAGTACTGTCTTGAACGAACTGTCTCTAAAGATTTACAGAAATATCGCCATTACAGCAAATTCTTGGCCCAAATTGAGGACGCATGTGACATATTTACCTGTTTCAGACTTGTCTTCGTGCGTTGGATCATAAGAATAATTAATTTTATAGCATACACATCACTCTAAAAACACATCATTTTCATAAAAAAACAACCTGCTGTTTCCATGGCGATGACATGCATCTCTTTCGGAATAGGATAGTCTGCAATTCGGAGAATGCGAAGAACGCCATTTTTGCTGTTTATCATTCGTCAAAACAGCCTCAAAACGCAAGATCTTACACCAGTCTGGATTTTTTACATAGATATATTTATAGTGTGTCTGAAGTTCGACGCCTGATGACAGGCTCAACGACTCGAGTAAAGCACAACAGATGGTGATGTGTTTATTTTGTTTTTCTGGTTTCTTCGGTCCATTTGTTTCTCATTTTAGTGCCTCTTTAATCGATTTTATTCCATAACTTTTGATACAAGTAATGATCCAGACATATCTCCTATTTCTCCGCCTTTCTTGGATTCACTCTGGTGTATGTTCGTAAGTTTCCTCAGGCATTTGTATTTGAATGCATTTGGCTTTCATTCCATGCGTTCAGTGGTTACTGTTCAATGGCTGTCGTTACAGGTGGCCTTAATTATGACTTCTTAGGATAGTGGCTCTTAAACTTCCTAATGCCGCGACCCTTTAATACAGTTCCTCGTGCTGTGGTGACACCCAACCATAAAATTATTTTCTTTGCTACTTCATAACTTCAGTGAATATGTGTCTTCCGATGGTCTAGGGCGATGTGAAATGGTCGTTCTTCCCATAACTTGAGAACTGCTGTCTTGGGAGATTAAACAGGATCTGTCCTTTTAAATTGGCATCAAACATGCACCTTTTCGGGTTTCTGTGGGTGTCAGCTCTCAACTAGCAGCCTGCAGAGAAGAAATAAGTACCGTACCATTCAAGAGATAGTGGGTATCACATGGAGAAGGAGAGGAGGAGGAGGAGGCGGCTGCTGATCTCCGTCATAAGGTGGTTAGACTGTTTTACTATCTTTAAAACTTGTAGCTGAAATACCGTTGTAACAAATTAAAGGAACTGAAATAGTTGGAAACGTGTAACATGCTGTTTAAATGTCATAGATCAAGTTACAGAAATTCGTAAAGTAATGAACTGGTTACGTCCTGTTAAATTACTCTCATATCAAGTTATAGAAACTTACTGATATAGTCATGAACTTGTCACATCCATTCAAAGGCTCTATATCAACTTAATAGGAATTTAGGATGTAAGGAATTGAGCGCATGTAGACCCAGTGCCATTTTATCAAATGAAAAGGGAATTACTGAAAAAACTAAAAAATATATGTTTTTAATACTCTGGCCACAGTTTTTAAAAAAAATAACACGCTTTTAAAAAGTATACGGGAGAGAAAGGTCGATGGCAAGAGAGCAAGAGGTGGGCAACGATACAGATGGGAGAACAACAACAAGAGATGGACGGGCAGCAGTCTGAGAGAGTGTACATCCAGGACAAGAGGTAGAGCGTGTTGGAGATCTATTCCAGCTAACCTTCACTGTGGTGACGGCACCTGATTGATTAATTGATAGTTAAGAACTAGTCATTAGCTGCTCGACTTAATGTTTAATGAGAGAGATGTCTGAAGGAACGAATCAGAAGTATTAATACCCAGCCTATGTTATAAAAGATTAGTGTCGACACCTTGTAGTATTTAGTAAGAAACACGAAGGATCTAACGGTTTATTCTGAGCACTATGGTGTCGATTCTCTATTAACAACGCACTTACCGTGCTCCCCGTGTTAGTTCTGGGGCCCCATTTGAGGCAGCTCTGCTCTCCGTGTTAGTTCTGAGGCCCCATTTGGGGCAGTTAACTGCTAAATGGCGACTTATTAGGCATGAGCTGAAATCGAAAAGTATAGATATCACAGCCAAGCTGTATACCGCAACACAACATGCCAGCCGCCCTTTTAAGGACGAACGTAGAAGAATGAGAGGAATTAATCCTGCCTACCCGTGAAGCACTGTACGTCTGCGACTTTGAAATTCTACATGAAGAACTATGGTGCTGCCTTTCCAACTCTAGAGATTGTTTATTGTAAACTTCTCTTTCTTCTTCTGCCTTTCTATCCCCCAATGGAGCATAGGCCCTCAACCAACTCACGCAAAGTCGTTCTATCCTTCGCCATTGCATGGGGCTCTCCCCATGTCCTGCCAATCTTTCTAACCTCGTTCTCCAGCTCTCTTCTCCATGTGTTTTTTGGCCTTCCTTTATTCCTATGCCTATGTGGGTTCCAATGCAAAGACATTCTAGTAATGCTGTTTTCCTGTTTTCTCAGCGTGTGCCCTATCCAACGCCAGCGTCTTTTCCTCACTTCCTGATCCACTGGAGCCTGTTTAGTTCTCTCCCAAAGTTCTACATTAGTTATTCTATCATACCATTTTATTCCCTCTATTCTGCGCAGGCACCAGTTAATGAATGTCTGTAATTTATTAGTAATTGCCTTCGTTGTTCTCCATGTTTCCGCCCCATACAATAGTACTGATTTGACATTAGAATTAAAAATTTTTAGTTTAGTATTTCTTTTAATTTCTTTTGACCTCCACAAATTCCCTAGTGCTATGAAAGCCCCTCTTGCCTTTTGTATTCTTATTTTAATATCTCTATCAGTTCCTCCATCTTTATCTACATTACTGCCTAAATAGGTGTACGACTCCACGTCTTGGAGTGGGGTGCCATTAAGAAAAACCACATTACTATTTGCCTGATTTATTCTCATTATCTTTGTCTTTCCTTTATGGATTTTCAGACCAAGCTGCTGTGATCTCGCATTAAGTATATTTAATTTATCTTGCATCTGATTCCGTGAATGGGACAGAAGAGCAATATCATCAGCGAAGTCCAGATCATCAAGCTGTTTTGTAGGGGTCCACTGAATTCCATTCTTGGTGTTAGCAGTTACTGTTTTCATAGTCCAGTCTATAGCCAGTAAAAAAAAAGAGAGGCGACAAAAGACATCCCTGTCGCACACCTGTTTTTATTTTAAATGCATCTGTTAGCTTTCCCTCATGAAGAACTCGACATTTCATGTCTTTATATGTTGCCTTTACTAAGTTGATAATTTTCTGTGGGATTCCATAGTGCCCCATCAATTTCCAGAGAGATTCCCTATGAATGCTGTCAAATGCTTTTTCATAGTCTATAAATCCAATGTAAAGTGGTGAGTTCAGTTCAATGCTTTGCTCTATTATAATACGTAATGTGGCTATCTGATCAGTACAGGATCTGTTTGACCGAAAACCTGCCTGCTCATCTCTCAGCATTTTATCAATAGCATCTTTTAATCTTTCCAAAATAATTCTACTTAATATTTTTCCAGGAACTGACAGCAACATAATTCCTCTATAGTTTTCACACTCTTGTAGATCACCTTTTTTGGGCAGTTTCACAAGATATCCTTCTCTCCAGTCTGCTGGTATTTCTTCTGTCTCCCAGACTTTACTGAATAATCTATGTAGCAATTCTGTTGATGTGTCTATGTTGGTCCTGATGGCTTCAGCTGGGATACCATCTGGGCCTGTCGCCTTTCCTTCCTTGAGAAGATTTATAGCTTTTCTAATTTCCTCTTTGGGTGGTATCTCACAGTTTATATCCAGTTCTATTTCTAAAGGCTGGATATCTGGGGGAACCTCTGGGCCTGGTCTATTTAGAAGCATTTCAAAATATTCAACCCATCTGTCCATTTGATCTTCAGTGTTAGTAAGTACCTTTCCTTGACTATTTTTGATTGATCCAGTTGGCTGACTATATTTACCTACTAATTTTCTTGTGTTACTGTAAAGTTCTCTGAGGTTTCCTTTTGCTGCTGCTGTCTCTGCTTCTTGTGCTAGATCATTTAGATATTTCACTTTATCTGCCCTTATATGCCTCCTAACTTCCTTGTTGGCTTCTGTGTATTTTTCCTGAGCTCTAGCTTTAGCAGCTCTAGTTTTGCTATTGTTTAATTCTGCCTTTTTACTTTTCCTATCTTCAATCAGTTTATTGGTTTCTGGTGTTATCCATGCTTTATGTTTCCTTTCTTTCTTGCCAAGAACTTCTACGCAAGATTCATTCCAGATTCCTTTGATCTGATCCCAGCAGACTTCTGTGTTGACATCCTCAGCTAACCGCTGCAACACCTGATACTTATTAGAGACCGTAACTGAGAACTGTTCCTTAATTTCTTTATCTCTGAGAAAGCCTACATTATATTGGTTTCTATGATAATTTGATGTTATATATCTTTTTAGTTTCAACTTGATTTTACTTACCACCAGGAAATGGTCAGTTTTTACATCGGCACCTCTGAAAGCCCTAACATCGTAAAGGGATGATCTAAACTTTTTGTTAATACATATGTGGTCAATTTGATTAGTTGTCTTATGGT